TCCGCCATTTTTTCCCCTTTCTTTGGCCACGCCCCTGGCACCCAGTGATGTATAAGTGGTTGGGTGTCATCACAACATGGGGAACTGTATTATGGGGTCGCAGCATTAGAAAGGTTGAGAACCACTGCACTAGAGAGTTGTCTTTCAAAATCCTCTGTGGAAAATTTGGCAAACCAAATGGGAAGAGAAGCGGCCTTCTATCTGTTCATGGTGGCTACCATCTGTTTATATTAACACAAAAAAATAATCAGAAGAATAACTATGCGCTACACTTTTCATCTCACATTAAGTCATAACGTAGTTTGCTTATCTTTTGCTTAGTGTAATTTGCAAACGACTTCATGAATAAACTATAGTTAGTTTAGGGCAGAAGCCTACCATTTGGACTCACGTTGTTTTCTTATTGACTGTATGCCTACATGTGATATACAACAGATGAAGACATTGTTTGTAATTTCTTGGATTTAAAAAAAAAATGTTTTGCCGCACCCAAGCTCCATTCTAAGCAGTCTATAAAGATGCAAGAAAACTGCAATTCAAAGGATTTTCTTTAACACCAGTCCCAATTACTGGAGGAACCTGTATTCTGGGATTTGAAGTCTATGCTTCTTGAAATTGTTAGGATTGGGAAACAGTTATTTTAGACCATTCAACGTTTCATTCTTAATCCTTAAATTGCTTATGCACTTAACCACTGATCTGTATTTTCACCATGCCGAACAATTATTTTCTTACCTACACTGCCTATACCAGAATAGCTAGATTCATGCAACGTGTGAAGGCACCATCAAATAAATTTAAGTAAACTAATCTGAATTTATCCATTAGGTTCAGACAAATCTAAAATTCATCTGTTGACAGCTTTGTGACCTCAGCTCTTCTAGCAAATCAGCTTTCTCAGATGCCCTGAGAAAGAGTGTTATTAGAACACAGACCAGCTTTTCTCCATTCCAACTTTTTTTGTTATATATATTTTTAAATAGGCTTATTTATAAGGATCTCAGAATTTCAGGATAGGTGAACGTAGCAAAGCACTGTATAACAGGCATAGCACACAATTTAATCTACCATGATTAACCTTGTCCGCAATTTCCATCAACATCAGAAAATGTGGAAAAATGTGTAAAAGAATAACACAGTTGGAATGGACCCTAGAGGTCTTCTAATCCAACTCCTTGCTCAAGCAAGAGACCGTATCCAGGGATAGGCAACCTTAGCTCTTTTATGACTCGTGGACTTCAACTCCCAGAATTCCTGAGCCAGCCATGCTGGCTCAGGAATTCTGGGAGTTGAAGTCCACGAGTCATAAAAGAACCAAGATTGCCTACCCCTGCCATACACCATTCCAGAAAGTAAAATCACCCCATTCATAAATTAAGGACAGTACAAAATGTTTGCTATGGAGGGAATAGCTTTAATTGGCTATTTCTTATAACTACCTGACAGTGATGCATTGTCATTGTTCAGCCACTGACATATTGGAGATAATAATGATTGAAAGTCAGAGCTTGCTGGGCATTTTGAAATATCTGATCAATGTCTGCATATATGCATTTGGTTTATTTTAATTTTTACTTTCAGAAGCGGATATACTGTGTACATATGGTAAGTTCTGATAGTTAGATCTTCCAAAACAAGAAACCCGTTAATACTTTCTACCCTGTTTATGGGAAGCCAGCATGTTGAATGACTTGGTTGATATCTAAATTGCAAAGCTTTGTGAGGTTATCGTTGCAAGATGTAAGCTGCTCCAAGTAAAACTGCATTTCATTAATATAGAATACTATACTTATCAGTGCCTAGATAAACTATTTTTTTTCATCTGTTTAACATATTTCAAAATCTCTCAACCTCTTTTTTCATGGAACTCTAATCAACCATAAACTCTTACATTCTTAAAAGCAAAATTATTCTGTGACTAGTAAAGCCTCCCTCTGTGAGAGTATGAAAGAATAGAATAAGTATAAAAATAGTTTATTGTTAGATCTACATAAAATACATCAATTTTAAAATGTGCCTTTTCATTGTAAACTGTACTTGGCAAAAATTCCAAAGATTTTTTTAATTATATATTTACCACAAAGCAATGACAATATGCAAATGTCCATTTTTTTTCTCTAGAGAATTTCTTTTCTTTTAATCATTGTAGTTAGCAAACATAAACATTAATGATGCATATTTATATTTGTTTAAATCTGCTTATCAGCTAAGATACCCTGTATCTATATCAATCCTTCCTGACATAATTCCCTGCTAGCTATGTTATTTTGTCACCTATTTTATTATTCCTGTGTTTTGCTCAGTTTTCACTTCTAGAATAAATTTGGCTGCTGCCTAAATTTGAATGTATTATTACAATACAACTGAACAAGGACTTTGACAAGAAACAAATCAAATGGTTATGTCTACCTCTTACTCAAGCATATAAAACCTGATGGCACAGTGTTATAAATGCTAGACCTAATGAATAATATTTGGTTGTTAGGAAGAATTCCTGCTAAGTAGCCTTTGAGCAAACTATGGATATGATTAGGACAGCTAGGAGAAAGAAGGAGTTGTTAACATGCTACCATGCTGATCTTTCAGGAAGCTCATACAAAGTAGTCTTAGTCAAGGCAGACTTTATCATGTATAATTGATAAAAGTAATACAAGGACATGCTGTGCTTCCTTGCTGTACACAAATGCTCTGTGGAGGGCAAAAAGATCTCACCACTATTAGAGCATTAAGTGGGAAATCACTGCAATTGCAGGCACTGGAAACAACAGGTTTTTGTAATGTGAGAAATTATTAATTGTATTATTTGAGATTTGTAGCCCAAGCTTTGTTAGAGTTAGAATTTCACCAACAATTCCAATTACTTCTGGTGAGGACATGATAAGCTGAATGTCCTTGAAGGAGCAGAGATGTTGCTGCAGAAATCAACAACCAGAAAGAAAATTCTGGCCACTTTCAATCTCTCCAGAGAAAGGAGAGATCGTGAGATTGCACTTATACACTCAGGACAGCTGTCCTTGTGAGTGGATTGCAGGAACCAAAGTTTTTGTGGTAAACTTATGATTGAAGCAGCTGAAAGTCAAGTTCTATCAAGCTCATAGCCATTAACAGAGGCATCAGTCGAGCCTCATTTTTTAATCACGTTTGGAATTATATTTTAATTGCTTTTCAACTATTAAGAACCTCACGAACGAAGGCAAATATACATATCCCATGATAACGTTGCAAGATCGAATCTAGGTCGGTCACCAGACCAGAGGTTTACTCTTCCGAGCCGTCAGACTTGTGCTGGAGCCCATCTTCAGGAATTTCTCTCTACTGGGATATGTGCTTTGGGCTAGTCTGTGAGTCGTGTTTATATGATGCCTTCCTAGTGGTTGATTGGTGTGTTAATGGCTGGCAAATTGGCTGTTGTTTCCTTGTGCTGCCAAGCCCATGGCTCCCAAGTATCTGATTAAATCAGCACTGCTGTTCATTGACAGGACTATTAAGAACCTTTATAACATTGAGTTTCTTTCAATCCTTGGAGAAAGAAGCACTAAGGACAAGATTAAGGGCTTTAAAAGAAGGAGGGGATAAACAATAAAAGGATGGTTAGAATCTTGATTTCAGAAAGTTATTAACAGATTAAAGGTCCAGAGAGATTGGAAATGATTTTGAAATTAATTATAAGAAAACTTTCCATGGGAAAATAAGATAGGATTTTGAAGGTCTGACAATAGAAGGAACTAGGAGGAACTATAGATTATAAATAAAGAAGAACACTTAAATTCAACTCACTAATACAGAATGGAGCAAACTATTTTAACTCTGGATGGATTCAAGGATATTTGGGAACAATGGATTCAGAAATTAATCTTAAAATTGTTTATTATGGTAAAACTGGATTTAAATGAGGTTATAAAAGTGAAACAAATTTTACTGGATAACACCAAGACTGAGACTAATTCAAATGTGGATCTATCTCTCTATCTCTCTATTCTGTTCTGTTCTGTTCTGTTCTATTCTATTCTGTTTAAGTGTGCGTCATGTATGTGTTTCACTTTGAGAGCGGGCAACTAAATTTCATTTTTGATGTGTGCCATTGTGCCCACAGTATAAAAATGACAATAAAGGTTATCTCTTATCTTATCTTATTTCATATTTCTTAACCACCTATCTCCTTCGGATTTAATAATGACGAGTTATAAGAATGATATGTAAAAAGATGTTACAGTGGATATACAAATGAAATGGCTGATATCTTAATAACTAAAAGGGATATACAAATAATAAACTACAAGAATGACTGGGGAAAAGTTCTTATTTTAAGTTTATAAAAGAGATTTGTTAAAGTTCCAAAGGATTTTCAGAGAAGAAACAAAAAGAAAATGAAAAGAAATCAAGCTCTGAGATATTATTTAAAGTGTTTAAAGATCAAGATTGTTAATACCAAATGGAAAAAATACAAAGTTGGTTTATTTGATCCAGGTTAAAATATTTCTGGTAACCCAACCTTTAATAACCTTTTGCTGACTAGGATTGAATGGCAAAGCTCTAAAGATCTGGAAAACATTTTTTTTGTTGTATTTTTAGAATTAGCAATAAATTACTATGTTAAAGTAAAGGGGAGGAGTATATATAAAGGGGAGAATATGTATTTTATTTAAGATTAAAATATATATCTTCCTTTTTGGTAACCCTTAATGAACTGTTGCTGTCAAGTTTTAAGAATTTGTTTATAGAAAAGAGATGAGATGCACAAAGAAATGATTGTTGTATTCTCAGAGAAGGTGATAAGTTATTGAAACAATATTATTTACTACATTATTTTTTCTTCTTTTCTATTTCTCTTTATGTTTTCTTTTCTGCACTTTCTATCCCTTTTTTCCTTCTTTTCTACTTTTTTAGTTTGCATTAGTTCCAGAATATAGAACACTTTCTAAATACTTTGGTCTACAATTGGCATACAGCTAAAAGAGAAAGACTTCAGAACATTTAACAAAAAAAATCATACTACTTACCAACTATTGCTAGATTATGCTCTGAACCACATGCAATCTGCAAAACAAATGATAATAGAATAGTAAACTGAAATACTAAACAAGAGAATGTATCCTAAATGCACAATTTTAGAATATTATACATTTTATATTATACATTGATGATAAAAAATAAACTTGGTATTGAAAATCATACTGCCTCTCATCTTGGTAATGATATATAGCAATTTTAGCACAGGTAATCTAATCCTTTTTGCAAAGAAGTCCAATCTCAGGGGCAATACCACACAATGTATAAAGGAATATTTTCTTATATCTCTCTACAAAGTTGCAACCAAGGAAGTTTGCAGGAAAGTGATTCATAATGAGTACAGACAGATAAACAGACAGATATATCTTCATATATTTTAAATATATGCCTTTATATATACATTTCTTAAACTTATTGATCAATTTTGTATACCACAATAATTATATACTAGATTCTTGATAATTAACATTAACTAACTGTAATACGTAACTATTTTAAATATAACAAGATTGATAAATTGCAAAAACTGACTAACCAACCACATTAAGACATCTACTCTGCCATTCCCATAAACTTTCTAAAATAACTCTGTCTTTACCAATTTCATCTACTTCCCTCATCTTTGACCATGAGGGGCTCCCACTAATTTCTTTCATGATGTTGATCCTCTCATGAGTTGATCCTAATGGTATCTGCAAGTGAAGCCATTTGGGGCCTTATAGGTTAAAAATAGGAGTTTGAATGTTGTGGAGATACTATTAGTTCTGCAACATATTCAAACATATATTTAGGGTTTTTATAGTTCAGTTTTTATTCTTGTTGTGAACCATCCAGAGTAGTTTTTTTTAAGATAGGCAGCTACACAAATCTTACACAGTACGTGCAGGTAGTCCTTGACTTACAACCGTTCATTTAATGACCCTTTGAAGTTACAGCATTTTTCACACTTACAACTGTTGCAGCATCCCCACGGTCACATGTTCAAAATTCGCATGCTTGGCAGCTGGCATGTATTTATGATGGTTGCAGTGTCCTAGGATCATATGATCACCTTTTGCAACTTTCTGACAAGCACCATCAATGGGAAAGCCAGATTAACAACTTAACAACTGCTGCTAAATTGGTGTTACTGATTTAGTGTTACTAATTTAAAAAGTGCAGTGATTCACCTAACAACTGTGGCAAGACAGCTTGTAAAATGTGAAAAAACTCACTTAACAACTGTCTTGCTTAGCAGCACAAATTTTGGGCTTAATTTTGGTCCTAAGTCAAGGACTACCTATGAGTAAGTAAGTAACTAAGTCAGTAAATAGATAAATAAATAAATAAATATTTTGTGTGTTTTCATTTTAAAGCAGTTAATATATCCCAGTCACTTATGAAGTTCTTCAGATTTGCACTGAAAAATGATCCTTTGCAAAAAGAATGTAAGCCACTAAAATATTTGAAGGATAGGGATGAAAAGAAAGTGCCCCATATTCTGTCCCTTTCGGACAACATTAAGAAAGTGAAAGAACATAGAATGTTATCTATATTGAGAAGGATGAGCTATGAGAATAATCAAGATTTTATTAGATTTCCTGCAATTTTTCTTATTAAAGCACCTGATGGCATCAAGAGGAATTTTCACTGTCCGACAGAAGGAAAAAAAAAATCACTATTCTGGTGATCCTGAGGGCACACACCTGACCTCAACAACTCTCAGAAAAAGTGATAATGATCAGATGACTGCAAGAAATAGAAATTCTTCTATCATCCACCATTCAATCAGAACTGAAAAAAGCTTCTTGGATGGGGAGCGAAACATTTTCAAGCAAAAACAAAGCAAATCCAGTTGCTTTTTGAAAACGTATTTTTGAGAGAACCATGACCTGGATGACTGAAAGTTTCCATAAACAAGGGGAAAAAAATACTTAAAACATCTTGAGGGGATTAAACCTGTTTTTAGTTTTGTTGCTATGCTTATTCCATCTGAGCCTGCTGAGCTCTTTATGTCTAGCATAATAAGAATTTGCTTGTTCTACATATTTTTTCCTTAGAGCTACAAGCAAAAGATTATAAACTTTAGCCTTCTTTGACACTGTAGTTTATTTTTTTCCATTTCCTTGCTCTCGTTTTTTTTTTCTCATCCATCTTTGCTATCTAATTTTCTATTACTCTGTCTATGGATAACCACCAAAATATTTTCATTTCTTTTTTCACCTTGCAGAGGGATAGGCATTTTAGAGGGATTCAAGAGAGAGATGACCAATTCAAGAACTGGAGTAAATTTTATTTTCATCACAGAAAGAAACAATGTGAAGCATTAATACTTTTTCAGCTGCCAAGAACCATTCTGATAGAGATGAGACATTTAGATGTGAGCTGCTTTACAGCTGTAAGATTGTGAAACTCTAATGTTTTTTCTATGAATAAAATAAAATAATCTAGTTTTCTACAATAGTGTGTCTCTTCAATTCCTCTAAAAGAACTGTCCAAGGTATCTGAAAGCTCAGAAGACTAAACCTCTGGTTTTGGTTCTTGCAATAATAGAAAGATAAATCTACACGTCCTTTTACAGCATTGGATTCCCCAGCCCAGTCCAAATAAGAAAGCACGGAAGGACCCAATTAACAATTAGGTCAATTTTTTAAAGTGTCTTGCTTGTAACATCATGTTTCATTTTCTTTTCATTTTTCAATTTAACATTACATCATAGTAATGTTACCTCATATTATTAAGACAGTCACCGTTTATTTATTTTTATTATTAAATTTATATGTCACCCATTTTACTATCCAAGCGACTTAGTTATTGTTAGCTTGTTTGAATAAATAAAACCATTAAAATATTATTACATGTCATTCAATTTTCTGAGACCTATAACTTATATGTTTTGGTCATCCTATGGAAAGTCTGCATACAGCAGGTTGACAAAAGACAATTTATACTAAAGCAACTGTTAAAATTATTACAGCAATTATAGTTATTGGCTTCAAATCTTATTTTAAATATAGTATATACAATGACACCTTTAAAAGTTTTGGTTTTGCTTTTGACAGCATCCTATTGACTTCTTTCCTCTCTCTCTCTTTAGGACAAGCAAGATTGTCTAATGGATGGGTATAATTATTCTGGCCATGATGTTATTTACTAGAATTACAAAAAAGATTAAGCTGCACGACTTAAAACAGCTGCTCAGACCAAGCCTATTCAATAGGAAGTATGGATGTTGGATAGCCAGGCTGGCACAAAGCTGGGCAACAGCCAAGAATTTTGCAGTATTTAGACAAAAATAATAATGTCTTCCTAGCTAAAAACCTTAGAAGAAATCATAGCTACTTTCAGATAAAATAGGATTACTGAGCTATAGCACATTCAAGCACATGAGTTAATTCTATGTGGAAATATTCGCCCCACTGAGAAATTCCCCTGATTGCAAAAGGTTAAAAGATGAGCAGGCTTTTTTAAAAATAAAAAAACAAGTCAAATAATATCTTTCCTCTCATGAAAACATGCCAGTCTGATTACCGGTAATTGCTAACATAAGGCTTAAAGATAAATATGTGTTATAGTGAGACTTTAGCAGAATGATCCCATCATCCCTAGACTGAGGATGATTTGATGTGTAGTCCAAGAGATTTAATGGGCTCTGGGCTAGGACAGGCTGACATCACAAAGCTTTTTCAAATCCTTTTAACTGTTTTCACAGCAGAAGCACCGTTGCCAACTTTGATCTCCCCCCCACACACAAAAAAATGGCAATATTCATTCTTTTCAGAGGTCTGCCTTCTGATGCCTACAAGACTCGGCTTGCCAACAGATGCGCTGAGCCTACAGAAAACTGGAGGGAGAAGAGGCACGGAGGAGGGTGGTTTGGTTTTGTTTTTAATTACCAAAAAGAATAGTTTCTTCATGATCCAAGCAACACCATTAAAGAGCTATATTGTGGCAACATGTTTCCATAATCTGCAGTGTCTGTGAAGCAGAACCCATATGGTGGAGGGGTTGCACACACAATACATGTACAAAAGCAGCAGTTTCCATAGCAACCGAGTCACAGCAAAATGTATCAGGACAGCTCTTCACCCTCTTACCAATTATTGGCTAGCATTGTATGAATCAGCTGACACCTAGTGTCTGTTCGAAACACTCCCGCACAGAACTCTTTCCAAGCACTTTCCTACAGGCTGTTAAAATATTCTCCTACAAAAAGACAAGGGAACACTTCGTTTTTCAGGCCTCCTTCCCCCAAAAGATGAAGCAACTAGGAGATCAAAAAAGCCGATAATCATTTATGCATATAGGCCAGTGATGGCAAACTTTTTAGAGACCAAGTGCCCAAAAACTGGGCCCCGCTCCACCACCACCCGCCCCACCCCCACTCTCCCCCCCATCCCCCGCCCTGCCTGCCCACAGGACTACTCACCGCCTCCAGGGCCCGCCGCAGATCGCCCAGGCAGCTCAGCAGCGCTATGGCGGCTACACCCTCTGCCCGCACCCTGCAGCATCAACCGCATGATGGGGTGTGAGGGCAGAGTCTTGTCTATGCTGCCTGGCTGCCATGTTCTTGGCTGCGCTGCTCCATGTGGGCCACGTGTGGGGCGACTCTCCTTCGGGGGGCTGCTGGCGAGGAGGGGGTCATGGGGGAAGGCAAGGCTGGGGCAACGGCACGTGTGCCCACAGACAGGGCTCCGAGTGCCGCCTCTGGCACCCATGCCATAGGTTCGCTACCATTGATATAGGCCTTTCCCCAGCAGCTTCGTTCTTTTAAAACTGTAAGAGTGCCGAAAATTATATAGTTTATTCCAAAGATATGCAAAGTCACAGCCAGCTTCTACCTGGAAGGTAACTAGTATAAAATTGTGCAAACGCTGGTAAGATGAAATGCATCCAGATAATCTGACCGTGAGCTTTAAAAATTGCAGAGAGCCCAAGGATGGGATTACTTCTGAGTAAACACCAGGAAAAATAACCTTCCAAGAGTAAAGCAGTATGGCTGAAATTTCATATATTGGCCAAACCAGCTTCCCACTCCACCCAGAAAA